CAGTGTAATGAGAGAAATAAAATAATGATTCTAGATTTCGATTTAATCGCAATTCTTCGATTAATATCTAGTCGAGTGATGCAACAAGCTACAATATAATATTTTACGCGCCGAATCACAAATTGCGGTACTTTAAATTGCTTAGCACCAGATAATATTGATCGAAGAACGAGCAAAGTTCGATACGTTAATAATTTTTAAAGGATTTTAGAAGATAAGTGAACGCAAGATAGGTAGACGAGAATGAGGTCGACTTATCTCAAACAAAATTTATCCAAGCGAAAAGAGGATTCGATTGATGGATACCGTCACGAGTAATGTTAATTTGTTTATCAGAATAATATATAATATTTTTCTAGAGAATTATACTTATTCTCCTTTGCTGTGTTCAGGCAATCAATCACCACCCAAAGCAAATATCAAGAATGTATACAAATTTTGATACAAATTGATACAATAATATAATATATGATTTTATTATATAATATATAATTTTGATACAATTTGGTACAATGATATAATATATGAATTTTATTTATTGAATATAAAATTCACATGAATATTTAATTTACTGAAAAATATATGCCAGAAAATAATAAATATACAAATAAAGAAACGAAATCATTACATACCTGTAGAATCTCATTATATTGATCTTCCGTTCAGATTTAAATACGTATGTCAATGTCAATGCTCTTTGGATAAATTTATATAAAATAAAGAATTTACAAGTATTTTGTTTACTAATTGCTATCACAAGTATTTCGTTTAATAATTGCTGTCAACATTATACAAAAAAAAATGATGAATTGGACATATAAACTTTCGATTAAATTAATTTCTTTTCCTAATTTCTCATAAATGGTCAAATAGAAAATTACATTGATTTGACTTCCGAGGAACAAATAATCAAACTCAGAGTGACATAATGTCGCTATAAAATAAAATATCAAATATATGTTAATATTTGTTAATATTTACATTCAAGCGAGAGTTCACGACCTTCCTCTTTTCATAGACAATTTCGTCGAGCATCGACAGTTTCGTCTTACCTGGCATAGTTGATACGTTTAATAACCTGAGCTGTGTGATATTGTGCAGATATGTCAGCGGAAGATTGGGCATGGCAACATTTTTATAAAATTGAGGGTGGATTAATAAAATGCAAAATATGTTGGAGTATTTTTTTAATAGGGAGAAAAATAGACACTTCGCATAAAGCACACTTATTCTACGAACATAATATATGTAAACAAGAAGAAGTCGACAAGTGGCAAATGGAAGAAAATCCTGAGCCGATGTGGGAAAATTTCAAAAAAGGCGAACTGTACACTGCGACATGCAATTTTTGTGGAGAAACAGTGGAACATGCATATCACGTTTCTAAATTAAATCTTCACTATTTGAAGCATTTTCAAGAATTTGAAGATTCTATCAAAAATTCTTGGTTGAAGAATCATATGAGATTTAATAGAACCACTAAAAAACCATATTGTTATTATTGCAAAAAATATTTAAATACCTCTCTCAACGTACAAGACTTAAAGGATCATTTGTTTGTAATTCACGATCTCCGCGACACCACCAAAAGAATGAGAATAAATAAAGATACAGGAGAAAGTAGTGCTGATGTATCTATACAGGCTGAGGAGAATAAGCCAAGTACAAGTTTTCAATAAAATATTTGTGGAAATTATAAAAAAATTAAGGACATAATTGGTAAATATTTCAAACATTGTTTTCCTCTTCCATAAACCAATAGATTTTATGTTTACAACAAATATCAAAAGTTGAATAACGGAATATTATAATTAAAATATAGCTGTTACAAATATTAAAATAAAATATTTTATATAATAAAATATTCAATAATATTTTTTCAAATTTGTCAATTTGCCAATTTTCAATATAATTTTCGTAACATATTAGAAATTGATTTATATTTATCTTTTATTATTATTGTAAAAGTGATAGTCATGTATTTGTTATATGTAATTTAATTAAATATTATAACTTGAATATAACGCATGATTTAAATATTAGAATAAAATATTCTGATGTTTGTATATATATATATATATATATACACATATAAATACTGTATAAATATTAAATTTTACTTAATTTCGTTAAATCTCCCTTTTTAATATCTGTTTAGTAATTAATTTAATTACATTTGTGAATATAAACTTTTTTGAACAAAAATAATATTTGATTTGAATTTTGAGTGAATATTCTATTATGCAGACGTTTATATAAAAAAAAGTACTTTGAATTTGTAATTCAATAATTATAATCAGCAAAATATCTGGTTAAATATAATATTAATTATCGAATTCTAATTTCAGATTATAGTGCAACAGCAAGGAGAATGTAGATATAATTGGAAATAGATATTAAAACCGATAATACATTAAACAACATTATTTTTGTGTCTTATACTTTAAAGAATTAAATGTAGAGCAAATAATTTGATAATTTGACAAAATGGAAACTATATATCACTGTATATATTTCTATTGATGCAAGGATTTCTATTTCTTTTCGATTTCTTCTAAACAGCTTTATCAAACATTTCGTTTTGACTATTGTAGACGCGACATTCTGCATAT